AGGAAGTGAAGACACAGGACACATGCAGGGGACTGCAGGAGAGCGAACACTGTTACCAAGCACAGCCAACTCCTCTTTGTCACTGCTGTGTGCCTGCGACACCTGCTTCCAACCCCACTCAAGAGCCTGTCGGGTCCACTCTTCCTTTGCCCTGCTCTCTGAACACCGTGGTTTGTTCCAGCAAAGCCTCAAGGGCATAAAGCAGTTCTAAGTCACAGGAATGCACCAGTGTTTGCTGCAATAAATGTCGACTAAGGCACTAAATCCCCGTCCAGGTTAAAAGCTAAGTATGCTCTGCCATTAAATGAATAAATGGAAAAATAGGGAGGAAAAACACTGTCTTAGTCTTTGGCAGTCTATCTGAAATACGCAAAGAAATATTTCACAACATAATTAACTTTATCAAGTACAAACAGTAATGAGAAGTGCAGCCATCAATAACCGAACACATGGCATGCAGAGAATATGGTCCTTTATTACACATATTGGGCCCCATCGATCATGGAATCCAACAGGTAAAAACTTTAAGAACTATTCAACAAATCATGTTAACTACACAAAATGGTAAATAGATGGTATAAATATTTTATTGGAATTTGCCACATTGAATACTAAACAGTACATCTAATGTGAATTTGAGTGTTAATTTTATACTAAACACAAAACTGCCCTTTAATTTTGAAACTAACACTGCAATTTTATTATACTTTGTAAATAACACGTCTACTTGAGAAAAATTAAGTCATCTGACGTGCTGACAGGATTAGAGTCTGGCTGTACTCCTGTGGTGCTGCTTCTGCCAGCATGCTAGAAATGGGGGGAGCCCAGTTCTGACAGCGTTTCCTTAATTACCTGCCAACATCTCTGGGTCCACGTGGCAGGCTCTTGCACCACACTGGGGACCTAGCTGAGGCTGCTCTGCAAACCAAAACCCGCCAAGCAGCAGACTCCACTGCCACGCGCGACCCAAGCAGCTCCGTGGGCTCTGGATTTTATTTTCAAAGCACCCCATGAACCTCATTCTAGGTTCTTTAGTCACAGCACATCTGAAACAGTGAATCAGGGGGAGTGGATGAGAAGGAATGAGCCAAAACATCAGCCTCTCCCCGGCCATGAGAGCTGTCAGTAAGAAAGAAGGAAAGTAAGCAAGAGACCTATGTGTGGCAATACAGAATCCCAAGTAAACACACAAACAGCACTGGACTATCCCAAAACAGAAAATGTGTGTGTGTCTGTGTGTGTGCGCGCGTATGTGTGCACGTGCAGACAGCGATGGATCTGCTGGTTCACTCCCCCAAACACCCAAGTCAGGAGCTGGGAACGTCTCCCACATGGGAAGCAGGAAGCCAGTGACCTGAGCGGTCATGCTGCATCCCATGGCCGACATTGGCAGGGAGCTACAGTGAGGTCTGAAACCCAGGAATGCTCAGGTTCGGTGCAAGCGCCATCACAGTGTCTGGTCTAGCCCATTCCACCCCGCTCATTTTCTGTTCTGTTGAATGGTCACATAAACCTAATATGTTCTTCATAAAAGAGCAGCTCATAAACCTTTATTATTTTTAAAAATACCATTTGAATGCTTTTCCTGATTATATAAAATAGAGAATTGGAAAATACTAAAAATGGAAATGAAAATTGCCTGTAACCACTACCCACAAATAATCACCAATCCTATCATGGTGTATTTTTATAATACACATATAAATATGTTATATATCTTTTTCGGTAATTTTTTCTCAACCTGCTATAATTTGTGAGCATTTTTTTTAAACTCAAAATGATCATTTACTAGGTCTAGATACAAAAAGGAAATTTTCACATGGAAGAACTTATCAACAAGAAAAATATATATTTTTTAAAGATTTATTTTTATTATTTTTTATTGGAAAGGCGGATATACAGAGAGGACAGACAGAGAGGAAGATCTTCCGTCCGATGATTCACTCCCCAAGTGAGCGCAATGGCCGATGCTATGCCGGTCTGAAGCCAGGAGCCTCTTCCGGGTCTCCCACGTGGGTGCAGGTTCCCAAAGCCTTGGGCCGTCCTCAACTGCCTTCCCGGGCCACAGGCAGGGAGCTGGAAGGGAAGCGGGGCTGCTGGGATAGAACCGACACCCATATGGGATCCTGGGCGTGCAAGGCGAGGACCTTAACCACTGCGCCACCGCGCCAGGCCCAAGAAAAATATTTTTAAAAGTTTTAAAACTATTGTCAGGGCCAGTGTTGTGACACAGTGGGTCAACTGTCACGTGTAATACTGGCATCCCACATGACCACAGTTCAAGTCTTGTTTACTCCCTGCTAATGTGCCTGGGAAAGCAATGGGACATGGCCCAAGTGCCTGGGTTACTGTCACTCATGGAGCCCGCCTTTCATGCCATTTGGGGAGTGAACTGGCGGCTGGAAGATCCCTTTCTCTCCATGATGACTTTCAAATAAATAAACCTTTTTTTAAAAAAAAATGAGACAAAAACTAGACTACTGACAATATACATGTAAATTACTGCACAGATCAGACATTTGAAAAACCAAACCTCTGAACAAATTTTGGAGAATGATCACTCTAAGCGGTTTTTGATGCCAGCAGTGAGTCTTGTAATTATAAGGGTTCTGGATGATCGTTACTAAATTACAGCCACTCCAGCAAAGTAGCATCATTAATAATTCATGGCGCCAGTGTCCTGTGGTACAGGAGCTAATTCTCTGGTGCCCATGTGGGATGGCTAGCGCTGCCATCCCACATGGGCACCAGTTCTTGCGCTGCTGTTCCACGTGCAACCCAGCTCTCTGCTTGTGGCCTGGGAAAGCAGCAGGAAACAACCCAAATCCTCAGGACCCTGTATCCATGTGGGAGATTGGGAAAAAGTTCCTGGCTCCCAGCTTCAGCTCAGCTCTGGCCACTGTGGCCAATTGGGATGTGAATGTGAACCAGCACTATTTCCATTTCTGCTTACAAATCTATCTATTTTCCAAATCTATCTTTCAAATTCAAATCTTAAAAAAAAATTCATCAGTCATTTTTCTCAGTCACTTACTCAGCAAATACTTGACAGGGTGTCAAGTGGAACACATCACAACCCGACTGGAAGGCCAGAATGTCACCATCTCTGTATTCCCAGCCCAGGGCTACAACACGAGTTTAAGATGGTTTTGCTGAATGACCACATTTAGAATCCAGAGTTTTAGGTCCTAAAAGCACATATTTATATAAGGAAAATAATTTGTGTAGAATATTTGATGATGCCATTTCCATTGTGTCTTCCTGATGTTAATGGCTACATAATATTCCACTGCATTTTTACAGCTTAGAAAACCCCTCTCCGCACACTGTATCTGAAGACCTCTCAGTATTGTCACTGCGGAGCTAACACATTCACCTCCAACTCCAAACGTACCAACCTTGTAAGACCCAGATTTACTTCTCCCTGGAAAATGCAGGCTTAACTTCAGAAGAAGACAAACTCCTGAAATACAAATTAATCCTAAAAAATTATCCCATTGGTAGAATGTTGAAAGACACACAACCCCACAGAGATCCAGATGTCAATTTTGCCAATCAACTACTTAGAACTGTTTAACTGAATCCGCCATGTGCCTGTGCAAAGGAAACCATGTTCCCTGGGACTGTTTCACACGTGCTCGGCACAAGCAGTAAAAATTCCAACAGGAGACAAACCAGAGCATCGGGGCTCTGGAAGGGAGCACAGCTGGTCCCCCTCACTGAAGGAATGAATGTGAGCCATCTGCGGGCCTTTGAAGGAACCCCAGGGGCCTCTTTCCTCCCTTTACAACTCCTAAGAATCCCCCTGGCCAAACATGGACGTTGACTTCAGGCACACTGAGCTTCCTGGAGAGCCAGCTGAATTTCAGAAATCCAAAGCTACACACACTCCCGATGGCGGGATGCACGCGCACCTGCGCCTCTGCAGGACGGCCCTGCCTCCGAGGACGCAGCCTCCTCTACGTGGGGAGACAGGGGAAGACAAGGGAAACAGCTACCTCCCTTCTAATTTAACCGAGGTTCAAGGAGGACTGCTAACAATGACCCCTCAAGAGACAGAAGATAACCTACGAAAAGGTCATTTCATTGTAAGGAACAAACGGGCCTTTGAGACCAACCAAAGGACATGTCAAACGTGTCATTTTTTAAACACTTCCATTATTCCACGTATCCTTCTGCGTCAGATTTTTTCATGAAGCCCAACGAATGACACCTGTGCACGACTGTATTGTTTGCTTTACAGGCGTTCTCATGCACGCGCGCGTGCACACACACACACATACGAGCACAAGGGCTCACCATACAGAAACAGATGACAAAGAGATTATTTAAAGCAGAAAACCTATAGGTGTCATTTGGAACACAGAACGTCCCGGTTCCCGCACGTTTCATTCAGGCAGCCTTGGCTCTCCACTGGATACAAAAACGCGTGCCGTGACAAAGACCTCCAAACACAAGCCTACAAAGACACGTTCCTACCAACGCCCCTACAAGCCGAGTTCACAGGTGGCACTCGTGGCACAGTCGAGCCACTGTCGGGGCAGCTGTCACAGGCCAATCACGCACGCCCAGGAGTGCCAGCGTGCCACCGACGAGGACGAGTCAGCGGCCGCGCACCAATCCCCCCAAATAAAGAAAAGCCCGAATTCCCCACCCCGAGAAGCACAATGCCGGGGCGCTTCCCACAAACCCCGCTCTCAGGCCGGAAAGGCTGAGGCTTTCGCAGCAATTAAATGCCAGCTGATGGCAATCACGTAAAAGCAGCGTGTTTTCTTTGGGCATTTACGAGAAAGGAGCCACGTCCCTCACTCCATGCCGAAGTCTGGCCAGCGAGGAAGGCGCGCCGGGCTCTTCCTCCTGGCGGCAAAAGCGGGTGCAGGGGCAGACCCGCGAGCGTACCCGGGGCTCCCGCCGCCGCCCACTCGGCTCCCCAGACGCCCTCCCACCCCGGCCCGGCCGCCGCCTCCCTCAGCGGGCCCAGCTGCCTCCGTCTCTCCTACCTTGGCTTTGCCGGCCTCCAGCTTCTTCTGTCGCTCCTCGTCCTCCATGGCCTCTGCGGAAGGCGGCGGAGCAGCGGGCGGGGCGTGGGGGAGAAAGCAGAGGTCGGTTCAGGCGGTCGCGGGACGGCGAGCTCTGCGGCCCGGCGAGCAGGCCCGGCGCGGCCCCACCCGCAGCGGAGCGGCCTCAGCGCTCACTGGCGGATCGCCCCGGGCCACACGGCCGGCGCCGTCACCGCCGCCGCCATCTTGGTCTCCACGTAAACACACGGCGGGCGGAGGCTGAGGGGGGCACGTCGGTCCGCGCAGCCGCCGCGCCGGGCAGGTGCGCCGCCGGCCCGCCCCCTCCGCCTTCCCGGGACCGCGCGGCGGCACCGAGCGTCTTCCCCGGGTGGGCGGCCCCGCGAAGGCGGCTGGCTGAGGGGCTGAGGGGCTGAGGGGCTGAGGCGGGGGCGTGCCTGGGCTGCCCTCGGCCGGTGGGGCTCCCAACTGTGCAAGGGATTCGGTGCCCTTTAAGCTGTGCAGTTTTTTTCAAGTCACAAAAGCATGATGCTTAAAGGAATTGAGAAACCTGGTGGGAAAGAAGCGAAAGACACACTCGCTGGACCTCAGTTTTTCAGCCTACATGGAAGCTGGGAGAGCAACCCCGAAGGTTCTGATGACTTCCTTGGCCCGCCTGGCCCTTTATTTGTGTCTGGTTCCTGCCCTCGCTCTGGTTCGTCCTGCAAGTCCCACCTCACTGATCTCCACCCACACACAGCTATTGTTATCTCTTTGTTCGTCCCTGCCAAAACTTACACTCCCATCCCATCTCTCTGCAGAGCCTCCTTGTGACAGCGATGCTTGGGGACGGGGCCAGTGGGCTGCAACTAGATTTCTTGTTCTTACGTTAAACTAGTAACGTGTCCTCCCGGAGCTTACCTGGAGCTGGTTAATATTTATGACTGCCCCTGTTACAATTGAATCTTCCCGAGTTAGTGTCGGCTTTCTTTTTCTTGAATTTCCTTTGTGTCCTCTGCAAGGCCTTTTGACAGCTTATATGCTTTTTAGGTCACCTGACACTGCCCGTGCCTTGACGACCAGCACTCAGCTGCGTCCTGGCGACAGTAGGATGGCTAGAACAGCCCTTTGCTGCGAGTAAACACTGCTGGAGTGACTCAGCCATGTCTACAAATTGGTCAGTACTTGTTCCTTTTCCCCACAATCCTTCCTTTTTTCTCCCTGTTCTCCAACCTAGAGGGGAACAGATTTTAATGTCTTAAGTGGCACAAGCCCCTCCTTTGTTTTGAGGGAGGTTGGACTGAAAAAGCTGCAGGAGTGAGAACAGACTGTGAGACCCACCATGGACGTGCTGCTAGCAAGTGAATCTTGGGGTTAAGAAAGAAAAAGGGAAAGACTAAAGACCTCAAGTCTACCACAAAGACTGATTTTCATGTAGTCCCAGTTTAGACATTCTTATATTTAAAAATATTAAGTTCCGCAGTACATATACATAATAGTGGCAGTACATATTGTCTCATTATCTCAACCTGAACGAGAGACTGGTAAGATTAACATTTATCACGGGATCAAAGAATCAAGACAATAAAAGGAGAAGTGATTTACTCAGTCACCAGCCAGCTAAAAGTAGAGCTAGAACTAGCAATGAAGTTGTTTCAATGTTTCCCCTCACCAATCATGCCTGTTACACAAGCAATGAGTGTTTGAAGAAGTTAAATATTGACTTCTATTAGATGGGCAAGTATGTGGCCCTACCAGTCTGACTCTTCCTTCTGACACCTGTTCATGTCATGTCATTCATTCATTCAAGTCATTCCCTAAGAAGATGCTATTTCACCGAGACTTGAAAAGAGTGAGGCAATGAACCATGGAGATGAGTGAGCTGTTGGTAAATCCGAAGCACTGAAGCTGGAGGACAGCTGACCTGATCAAGGAAGGCCAAGAGGCCAGGATGGCAGGAGTGGGGTAAGCACTAGGTGTTAGAATAAGAGGGAACGGGTTGGATTCCTTGGACATGCCAGGATCCCATATGGGCGCCAGTTCTAATCCCGGCAGCTCCACTTCCCATCGAGCTCCCTGCTTGTGGCCTGGGAAAGCAGTCGAGGACAGCTCAAATTCTTGCGACCCTGCACCCACTTAGAAGACCCAGAGGAAGCTCCTGGCTTCTGGCTTCAGATCAGCTCAGCTCCAGCCAGTTGGGACCACCTGGGGAGTGAACTGGCAGATGGAATATCTTTCTGTTTCTCTCTGTGTGCATCTGTCTTGCAATAAAAAGAAATCAGTCTTTTTTAAAAGGCTAAAAAGATATCATAAAAAGCAGTTGTCGAAACCCCAAATATGAGACATTCCGTGTGACTTTCTACATGGTTTTTTTTGTAAAGGAGAGTTAAAAGGAAATAATTCTGGAATAAAAAAGTATAAGATACATAACCAAATAAGGTTTGTGTGGCCTTACTTGAATTCAAACAACTTCATTTTGAGATAATACAAGTTAATAGGACATGAACTGAGTATCAGATAATGTTAACAAATGTTTTACTAATTTTATAAAATGCAAGTGTTTTTATAAGCAAAATAAACTAATACAGGAGGCATTCATAAATACATTTTATTACTTTAAAGGTATTTATATGACTTTAAGAAGAGAGTATCATCAAATTTTTCCAGTTCCCAATCCTGCATAAAAAGTATTTTTGTTAGCATGATGGTCACTCATTATTTTATTTTTATTGGAAAGTAAGATATACAGAGTGGAGGAGAGAGAGAGAGGAAGATCCTTTGTCCATAATTTAATCTCCTAAGTGGCTGCAATGGTCAGAGTTGAGGCAATCTAAAGCCAGGAGCCAAGAGCCTCTTCCAGGTCTCCCACGTTGGTGCAGAGTCCCAAGGCTTTGGGGTATCCTAGTCTGCTTTCCCAGGCCACAAGCAGAGAGCTGGAAGGCAAGTGGGGCTACTGGGATTAGAACCAGCACCCACATGGAATCCTGGTGTGTACAAGGTGAGGACTTTAGCCGCTAAGCTGCTGTGCCGGGCCCCAGATATTCACTCATTATAAAAGTCTTTGGCTGAGCACACCATCAACCAGTTTTTAATAAAGATACCGAAATAGTTTTCAAAAATTCTAGTAGAACAGTATATATAAATCATTTGTATAAGTTTAGTTTGTACAGAATATACAAAATATAATAAAATGTATATATTGGTATAGGTAGTGCTTTACACAATTTATTTTCATCTCTAATTGTTTTTGCATTCTTATAATGTGCTGATTATTATATCAATGAAGTTCAATCCTGCATATATATACTGCCCAAGAGATTCCTAAAAAAAATCTTGGGTATAAAAACATAAAATTAGGGATAAATCATTCACTCTATTATCAATATTACTGTACTGTATGTGATCCCTTTACTTTTTATTGCTTTTCTAGTTAATTAAAAACCTGAGTTTTCTTTTCATGAGTTTTTGTGGCAATTTCTGTTGTGTGTATTTATTTTTAACATTTATTTATTTTTATTGGAAAAACAGAGCAGATTAATGGAAAGAAGGAGAAATAGAAAGACCTTCCATCTACTTGGGCATACTCCACAAGTGGTCACAACAGCCAGAACTAAGCCAATCCCCTAAGCCAGGAGCCAGGAGTTTCTTCTGGGTCTCTCATGTGGGTGCAGGGTCCAAGGCTTGGGTCATCCTCTGCTGCTTTCTGAGTCTGTAAGCAGGGACACAAGCCCATATGGGATCCCGGTGCAGATACAAGGATTTAGCCGTTGAGCCATCACACTGGGCCCAGGAGTTGGCTTTTAGTAAGTTGCTTGTGGCAATTTCTGTTATGTGTATTTCAATTCAAATTATTACAGTGATCATTGGAGTTCCTAGGAACTAGAGATGAGAAGGCAGTAGAAATGGATCAATAGAGCCTGTATATAAGTTTTGGTATATTTTCTTTAATCTTACATTTCATCTTTGATGAAAGTATTTTAAAACACAAGCTAAACTGTAGAATTAAAACGATAACCAAGAAGATTTGGCAGTCTAAACAACAGAATTGTCTATCTAATAGCTTTAATTTTCTTCTTTTTCTTTGAAAAAAATTAAAATGCAAGAGAACTTTGCACATGCTTTCAGATATGTTTGCTCCCTCACCATTTCCTCTTTCACCTTTTAAATCAAATCTTTCCAATGTCCTCTTTAGAATTCACAAATAGTATAAAAAGCCCAACCATCTCAAGTTTTTTTCCTCTGGTTTTCCCCTTTTTTCCCTGATCTGTTGGCAATCAGCTCTCTCCTAGAACACTATTTTCCCAAACGCAGTTCTTCCTGAGCTCTGTGTGACTGGGTCTTGAGGTGCAGGAAGGGTACTTTTGCCTCTTACTGTACCCTAAATCACTAGTGCCCTAGTCACTTTCGAATTCCGTGCCATCAGATTTTCTACCTATCCATGGTCCAAATGGCAGGTCCTATTCCTTTTAGATTTGTTGTCATTGACTTGACTCAGCTGCTAGTGAAGTCAGCATCTAGGTAGACGAGCCTTCTAGCATCCCAAACTTCTCAGCTACTCGGTGTTCTATTTTCGGTGATCCTGTCTTCTGTCCTATCCCAGCTATGCTCACCTACTATTGCAGAGTTCTACAATAGTGAAGTTTGCACTTTTTTTAAAAAAAGATTTATTTACAGGGTCCCGGTGCAATAGCATAGTGATGAAAGTCCTTGCCTTGAATGCACCAGGATCCCATATGGGCACCAGTTCTCTCCCAGCAGCCCCACTTCCCATCCAGCTTCCTTCTTGCCACCTGGGAAAGCTGTTAAGGATGGCCCAAAGCTTTGAGACCTTGCACCTGCATGGGAGACCTGGATGAAGCTCCTGCCTCCTGGCTTCAGATTAGCTCAGCTCACCCATTGTGGCCACTTGGGGAGTAAACAATCAGATGGAAGATCTTCCTCTCTGTCTCTCCTCCTCTCTGTATATCTGCCATTCCAATAAAAATAAATAAATCTTTAAAAAGAGATTTATTTACTTCACTTAGAAAGAATTACAGAGAGTGAGAGATCTTCCACCCTCTAGTTCCCTCCCCAGATGCCTGTGATGGCCAGAGCTGAACTGAATCAAAGTCAGGAGTCAGGAACTTCTTCCAGATCTCCCATGTGGGTGCAGGGGTATCCTCTGATGCTCTCTAAGAAACATAAACAGGGAACTGGATTGGAAAATGAAATAGCTGAGACAAGAACCAGTGCCCGTATTGGATGCCTGAACCAGCAAGT